CTTTCAGCTGGTTTAGATCGAGACGTCCCAACAAACCAGAGGCAGAAAGATAAGCAGAGCTTATAGTCTAACAACTAAAGTGTCTGCAAGTCTCATGAGGAAGTATAACCTAAGGAAGTAAAAACTTAAAACATCCCTGCATTTACTGCCACGGTTAGCAAGAAACAAAAGCTTGTACAAGTTTCTAAAATTCTCTGTTGTTTTAATGGTAGTACAGAAGAAAGGTGTAAATACTAGTGTCCTCACCAAATGTAGAGCACAGAGCATACCGAGCAGCCACATGATAGAAAGGCAGTTGTTGCTGGTTTTGAAAAGTGCCACTGTGCAGCATTTAAAAGCTAAAGAAATATATATTACCCAATACTGGGTGGCAGAATCCTAATTCCCAAAAAAAGCATATCACTGATGTGTAAATGCACTTGTTTTTTCTACCATCATGATCAGTTTGATTCATCCACAAAACCACAGAATACACTTTAAGAGTTTCATGTAACACTTGAAACTCTTAAAGACAAATTCATATAATAAACAAAAGCACTGATGAAAACAACTGATCTAGCCAATTATATATATTTAGAAAAAGATTCATTACTATAGCTTTAACAATAGCAACAGAGAAACATTATCACCTTCATAGTACCAATGATGAATTAAGTAAATTCCGGACATTAGCAAACTTATGGATAAAGACTGTGACCTGGATGATTTTGGTTGTCGTGTGTTTGTTCTGCTTTGTGTTTGTCCATGTCATCTTTCAAAAATAAAAACAATCTTTATTGATTTCATGATTTTCGACTGATTGCAGAAACCTTTTTTTCCTCTTTAAAGGTCCACTTTGTGAGTGAACTGGATGCATGTGTTTCACAACATGTAGTTTTAAAGAGAGGAAACTGGAGTAGGGATGGGTATCGTTTAGGTTTTATCGGATACCGGTGCCAAACCGGTACTTTTGAAACGGTGCAGGTGCTTAAACGGTGCTCAAACTGGTGCTTAAAGAATAGAAAACACAAACTTTGTCCTAAAACCTCTCATGTTTAGCTGTTTTTTTTGTAAAAAGATAACAATGTTAGCCTTTTCTGCAGCTATGGGGCATATATGGTATCACTCTTGGCTGGAAGCAGTGCTTAAACAATGGAAAGAAAAACACAAACTTTGTCCAAAAACCTAGTTGCTAGTTGCTAGTTCATCTTACGTGCATTAATGTAATAACGTGGTTAGCCTACTCAACGTAAATTACACACGAACAACATTAAGCTACTCACTCAGAGAAGAACGGCTGCTGCTGCCATCATCATCCGTCATCATTTCTGCTACACTGGCAGGGCTAGGGGCCAGGACTCTCCTCTTCGGGTTTTTGGGGGATGTTGCTCCAGGTCAGATAACAGGCAACCCACCAGCACTCGGTTTGCGCAGTGGCGTGTCTAGAAAATTTTTGTTGGGGGGGGCCAGGTAGGGGCACAGATTTGGAAAAGGGTGGCAGATATAATTGGCAGATGATGTTAAAAAAAAATTCTACCAACTGTTAGTATTTTTACTGACATATAATGCATATATGTTTTGGGCAAAAACATTTTTGAATATTAAAATACGAACATTTCTAACATACAATTGGCAAATTAGCCAATGCCAATGCAAAACTTTATCTGCCTATTAAAAAAAGAAGATAATCTTCTCACAAACTGGTGTTTGATTTTGAAACAGGAAAAAAGTGGGGAAACAAATGAAAAGACTAACATTTGAATGAAACCTGAAAGCAAGTAAATACTTTCTATGCTGCTTTATGATAAACTTTGGTAATATTGATGTATAAAGAACAACACTCGCTGATGATGAAATACAGTCAGCTGGCATGGTGACACTGCCAGTATTAACCTGCAGGGCTGGACTGGGACAGAAAATCGGGCATTTTGACTAGAGACCGGCCCACCAGGTATTAAAGCCATAAAGCCTTTGAATGAAAACAAACGCTGTTGTGACAGTGATGCACACTGTCTTGTTGGTATATGTATGATTTCTATGCATTTTAAGTCAGATAAAAACTTTGTTCGCAAGATTCAGATAATTATTTAATAAAAGCTAAATATTTTAAATGAGAATAAGAAAGAAAAGTATTTCTTTGTGCCCCCCTTTCCCTGTTAATGCCCCCCTGGCCCCCTGGCAAAACTTTGCTAGATCCGCCCCTGCACAGTTACCAGCTGTCAGCTACTTAAAAAAAGGATCCTGGTGTAATTTGTCTCTCAGAAACAGTTCATAACTTCCCTTCAACTCATTCATGTCACCTAAAAGGTAAACCTGTTTCTCCATCACCTGTTCAGCTCTGATGATTCAGTAAGGACATCTCCTGGTTTCATCTTCATGTTTCCCTCTCACCACATATCCAAACTGACATCATGACCAGCAGCTTTACAGCTGTGGCTCCAGCAAACATCAGATGATACTAGAAATTAATATCAAATAAATTCTAAAAACAGCTTATCAAGCTTAAACATGCTGCTGTTGTTTAGCGCGACATCCGCTGGTTTCCTCTTTCTGGCACAAAGTGGGCGATAAACAAACAAGAGAGAAAAGCCGATCAGCTGATCATTGATCAGTTTCATGATTGAAGTAGCAACAGGAGAGGGAGGGGGAGAGAATGAGAGAAGAAGAGGCAGCTGTGCAGCGTAACGACAGAGTAAATCCAGCTTTGTGTCTTTTTCCATTGTAGCTAAAGTACGGGACAAACTGTGTCCCTTCTCAGCTCAACACGAAACACGTAATATTTTCTCTGAATGAGGGACCATTACATTTTTTAAGGAGCCGTTGGCAACTCTACTAACTAACCTTATGAATAAAATAAAGTTCACTTTCAGTAACATCATAGCACCCACCCAGCTATAAATAAACTCCGTCATGCTAGCTAGTACACAGTACGTGTTATTGTAACTGACGGTAAAAAGTCAGCACAACGAAAATAAACTCCACCTAAACCTGGTTTATATCTGACCCAGATAGACTGCAGGTCATAACTTCTTACCTGTAGTTCAGTTCACCTGACACTCGGACCGGCGGCCACCTCGGGGCTCTCCTCCTCCTGCCTCCCCTTTCTCTCATCCACCTGCTGGCCTTTGTGGAAGCTCCGCCATAGCCACCACCAAACAACTGAGTTATTTTTACACATCTGCCAGCATCTGGCCAATCCACCACCTCTCATTGTTCATGCCGTTACAAAAAAAACCCAACAAAAAGTCATCAGCCCACTGGGCAAATGCTTGGGATGTAGTGATGTGCGATACCACTGATTTCCTTTCCGATCTGATACCAAGTAAAATTCAGGGTGTTATCGACGATACTGATCCGATACCGATACTTTGTACAATAACGTATTTTATTTATTGTATCTTTTATTGTAGCTTCATCATGATTACAGGACATGAGATTACTTATTCTTATCACTTAATAATGCAGAATTCATCATATAGAAATAAAATGTTGCCTGCCTGCAGCACTAAAGGACTCCATGAGAGACGTCTATCTCCCCCTAGCAGCACCTGTCCCTGTCCACTCCTCCTCTTCAGTTCCCCCTTAACATACGCTCGTTATATTCTGTGATATGATTTACTCTGAAGTGTTTGACGAGGTTAGTGTTGTTGCCACAACACCTCACTTTTTAACCACATGTATCGCAAACCACATCTCGGCTGTTTGTGGAGGTAAAATACTTCCGCACATGACTCCATTTACGCTCAGCCATTGTTGTGAGTGCGCACGCCAAAGTGCTGCGACACATTTATACAGCTGTATTTTGCACATGACTATGGAAGGCGGAAGAGGAAGTAGTTCCTTCCAATGTAGACAATCTGAATGATATAGTTTCTTTCCACTGTGTTCCTGTTAATGATAAACTACAAATTTACCCTAAATTACTCAAATATTTTAATGTGAGAATCGATTCTAGAACATAAATAACTGGTATTGGAGGAGTCGATATTTCAATATCGATCTGCACATCACTACCGGTATGCCTGATGGCCAGTCCAGCTATGTTAACCTGCAACCAAATCTGCAGCTCCATACAGCAATGTTACGACTTGGATTGTATCTTATAACTTATAACTCTTATGCTCAGGAAAAAAAATAAAGTACCGAAATGTGCGCTGCTTTTCGGTCTGGTTACTGTCTGGTTACTACCGTTTATGTCAGAACTGGTGCCATAATGGCACCGGATACCGGTACCCATCCCTAAACTGGAGGTTGAGATTAAAGCTTTCAGTTATAACCAGTTTTAATCATTTGTGCCCATACATCTTCAGAATACTTGTGTGTATAATTACTGTTGATATTGCAAGGATCCGAGATGGGTGGGGTTTGCTTTTCCTGTTTTCTTTAGGTGGGTGAGTGGGTGTGGCCGCAGTTCTCGGGGTGTTCAGCTTGTGGTGTTTGGCATCGTCAAGCTGGTGATGAACAGCGGTGTGCCAGCTGTGCTTCAGCTCTGTGGTAATGGGCTCATTCCGGGAATCTCCAGCTGTAATCTTCGTCTTCTCCTCATCCCTCTGCAGAGCTACTCCTACTAAGATCGCTCGTCTGTTTACTCCGTTCGCCCCCTGGAGAACAGCGTTAGGCACGGATTCCTCACTTCGGACCTTCACGCCGGTGCTTCACCTGCTTACCTGGATTTCTCCTCATCACCTTCCTGCACCTTTCCCAAACGTCCAGCCGCCTGCTCCCATTAATCTAATGTTACTGTGTGTGCGCTTATCACTGGTCTTTGTCCTCTTCCTTTCTCCTCAGGTTCTTCCCGTTCCACCTGCTCACCAAGTGTTTCTATTTTCCTTCTTTAATTCACCATAAATCAACTTTTTCACGTGTTTGTACAACTGAGTTGGTTTGCTCCTTTGAATCCACTCTTAGTGAAACATGACACATATAATTTCATTCATGTTAATAAATATATAATATAAAAGCACAAAACCTTAGAATAACTCAAGTTAGTAAAGAAGCTCTTTGATGGTTTTTAAGTACTTTGAGACTTTAACAATGTTGTAATCTTTGACTTTCTTTATCAGAGGATATTAACAGGAAGGACAGATAAGTGACTATTTTTCTGCTTCGGTCAGAGCATCATGTGATGCCATGCCCGTAGCAGCTTTGCAACCAAGCAGGCTGGCCTTAGGACACTTTCTTAAAGAGCATGTTCTCCTTCTGAACTTCCTTCTTTTTAACAGCAGTCAGGCTACATGGTTCACTGTAACTGTGCTAAAACCCCCTCATTTCGTTGTGAAATCACTCGTTCACTTGGTAAGGAAACATTTCACTGTTACTCTCTAAAACTAATAATTATTTATTCTTTTACTTAAATGAAAGACGCATTAAGTAATTTTAAATGTAATATGTATTAAATTGTACTTAGTTGTGTTGTTGTTTTAAATGAACGGGGGAATAAAAAATCAAAAAAAACAACGCCAAAAAAAAAAAATGTCGTTAAATAGGGGAAGTTCTCTGTGAAACAACTTTGTCGGGGCTGTTTTAAAACTTCATGTGTGGAATGATTAGATAAACAGATGTCTTTGTGTTTGTCTGTTAAAATGCAGGGAAGGAGTTTGTGAACATGGTGACAGTCGGCATGTTATCGGTTCTCCTCTTTGTTTCAGGTGAGCCGTTTGTTCACTTATATTGAAATCATTTAAAATGTGAATTTTATTTGGAAGAAAAAATGACCCTACAGCTACTTTTTCCAACTGTTATTGTCCTAACTTGAAATTGAAATTCTTTAATTGGTAATTTCTCTTTGGTTTGTTTACAAAACAAGAATTTAAATGATTACAGAAGAAGAAGTCAAATGACTGAAAGGGTGTTGGCTGAAGCTACAGCTTGTAACACCTACAGCTTAAGAAAAAAGAAAGAAAGTATATTAAATCAACTACACTTTTAATGTCTAATTTAAAAACTGAATCATGACAAAAGAAAAAGAAATAATCAGTAACCCTTTATGTCTAATTCAGCTCTAGATGAGCTCTGTTAAAACCTGTGATTGTGTAATAAACACACAGATACAAAAATCAATGTAATTGAATCATTTAATCAAAGATTATGCTTTACGTCTTGGTGGGACTACAGTACAGTATTAATGTGTGAATAACTTAATCCATAAAATGTATTTACAGGTGCTTTGGCAGACTGTACAAAACAAGCAGCAGTCTCCATAACTGCATCAAAGAAGCTGGAAGCACTGAGTGGATCTTGTTTGCAAATCCCATGTAGCTTCAGACCCAAAGACGAACAGACATTTATCAGCACAAGAAAAACCTTTGGAGTGTGGATTAAAAATCAATCCCAATTTGGCAGTAATCGAAACAATGTGATCTTCAACAGTAGTGGAGCAGTTAGCATCTATCCAATGAGTATTACTGGGAACCTGAGTCAGAGTGACTGCACCACTCTGTTTTCTAATTTAACCACAAACTACACAGACACATACTTCTTCAGAGTAGAGAGAGAAACATTCAAGGTGACAGCTTCTTGTGATCCTCTTCAAATAACAGTCAGAGGTAACGAATTCTTGCTTTTTCATAGTTAAAGCAAACAATAATTTTGTAGTTTGTTCTTGATTGTTAGATTTTTTTTCTCTGTCTATGTCTGTTGAGGATATACTATATTACAGTCACAATTATTGTCTTAATAGCCTGAATGGTGTTTATATTTCCTTATTTATAATGTTTGCTCTGCTCAGGATCTGATTTCTAAAATTATCTATGAATTTTGGATAACGAGATCACAGGATGAAGTTTGAAGATTTAAACATGTATAAAGTGTAGTGTGCTCTTCATTTCTAATATGTTTGTGATGTGAAACCACAGATTCTCCTTGGAGGCCCAATATTACAATCCCAGGTGATCTGAAGGAGAAGGAGTCTGTCACTATAACCTGCTCAGCTCTCACTCCCTGTCCACACTCCCCTCCTCAACTCACCTGGAATCTCCAACAAGACTCTCACAACAAAATAGAGGAAAACACAGATGGAAGCTTTACAACTAAAATCCAGCAGAACATCACTCTGTCAGACACACATGATGGAAAGAAGATCAGCTGCTCTGCCAGATATCCTGTGAACCAAGGAAAAGACACCAAGACAGCAGAGACAGAAGAGACTCTCAGTGTTTCATGTAAGACAATCAGAGTTTGTTTTTTCATCCTGCAAACATATCATGATTTATAGGATATAATTTATTTCTCCAGATGCTCCTAAAGACACCTCAGCATCCATCAGTCCATCAGGTTTGGTGTCAGCAGGCAGCTGGGTGAAGCTGACCTGCTCCAGCAGAGCCAAACCTCCAGTCAGCAACTTCACCTGGTTCAAGAAGAGCAGAGATGGAGCTGTGAAAGTATCTGAAGGAGAGATTTACAGCTTCAATGTAACAGATGGAGGAGTTTATTACTGTGTGGCCACTAATGATCTGGGTAATCAGACATCAGCAGAGATTCATCTTAATATTTCAGGTAAATGTAGAATGATAGATGAAAAGGCTCAATTCTAAACATTGTGTTTAACTTTAGTCATAACAGATTGATCAAAATAATCAGGAATGGGATAAATCTTTTCAGCTGTTCATCACGGTTGAACATCTTCACAAAGTACAAGTGCAAACAGCAGGGGAAAGTAAAATAAGGAGGCTGGACATATATGAATGAACACTGAGTATACCGAGCAGAAAGACTCAACATGTGTTTCTTTAGGAACTGATACGTGGTGGGCTGCTGTTGGAGGGATCCTTGGGATCATCACACTTATTTGTTTGGTTTTCATCATTTGGTAAGTGTCTGTTTCTTAACCTATTTTAATATTTTTTTTAGCATTGTGAGTAGCTTGTTCATCACTTTGTTTATATATATATAATTATTTCTTTTTTCCCTTTTACTTCTACAGTTAAGCTAAAAGTTGTCTTATTCCTTTTAGGCGGCTCAAGTCAGTCAAACATGGAGCTTCCGATCAGACACAGGTGGGAAAACTGAACTTTATTGTGGTTTTAACATGACTGCACAATAGTGACTGCAGTCTTTTCAATTCAGTTAAATTTTTTTTATATAACGCCAAGCCAGCTTCATGAAGAGCTTTATAGTGTAAGGTAAAGACCCTACAATAACAGACAAAAAACCCCAACAATCATATGAGGCCCTATGAGCAAGCACTTGGTGACAGCAGGAAGGAAAAACTCCCTTTAAACCAGAAGAAACTTCCAGCAGAACCAGGCTCAGGGAGGGGCCACCATCTGCTGCACCTGGTTGGGTTGAGGGGAGGAAGACACGACAAAGACACCCTGTGGAAGAGAGCCAGAGATTAAACATAATTAAATGGAGAGTGGCATATAAACGCACAGTGAGTGAAAAAGCAACATAATGGGAATCATCCAGCAGACTATACCAACTGCAGTGTAATAAGGGAGGATTCAGGGTCACTGATCCAGTCCTAACTATAGGCTTTATTAAAAAGAAAATTTTATCTTAAAAATCTTAGAAAAGTAGAGAGGGTGTGTGTCTCCTGCATCCAAACTGGAAGCTGGTTCCACAGAAGAGTGGCCTGAAAGCTGAATACTCTGCCTCCCAGTAAGTAAACCAGCAGTCTGAGGACAAAGTGCTCTAATGGGGTGAGACGGAGCAGATTCCTCACTCACATGAAATGCGATTAAACGTCCTGTTTTTTGTGTTTTACTTGCTTTCAAAGCATCAAGTTGCTACTGTGAAGGTATCAAATTATATCACTGATTGAGTCAAACAGAGTTTTCTCCCAGTTCTTCATTACATCTCAAGTTTGGTGTGTTTGATTTCAGAGTCTGTCTCTCCAAGAAGCAGCCAGAACAGCAGAAAATGAAGACATCCATTATGGACAGATTGACTTCTCCAAGCAGAGACCCGGACCTTCTTTAGACCGATTGCAGGAGAGCACACAGCAGCAGGATTTGGTGTATTCACAGGTCAAAGTGTGCAAGACTCAAAGCAGAGACAGGCCATCACAGACAGCTGATGGCCCAGAGTGTGTCTACGCTCAAGTGCAGAAGAAATGAGTGTGGAAGTGTCTGTTGGTGAAAAAGCACTTCCATACAATATTTCTTTTAAAAAGGTACTTTGAAGTGAAGTTTGATTAGCTGTTTATCTCCAGTAAAATATTTATTATTATTTTTTATCATTTCGTGTATTTTTGTGTATTTATCATAAGTTTCCATCCATCCATCCATCTTCATCCGCTTATCCGAGGTCGGGTCGCGGGGGTAGCAGCCTAAGCAAAGAGGTCCAGACCTCCCTCTCCCCAGCCACCTCCTCCAGCTTGTCCGGGGGAATACCAAGGCGTTCCCAGGCCAGCCGAGAGATATAATCTCTCCAGCGTGTCCTGGGTCTGCCCCGGGGCCTCCTCCCGGTGGGACATGCCTGGAACACCTCGCCCAGGAGGCGCCCAGGGGGCATCCTTGCCAGATGCCCGAACCACCTCAGCTGGCTCCTTTCGATGTGGAGCAGCAGCTGCTCTACTCTGAGCCCCTCCCGGATGGCCGAACTTCTCACCCTATCTCTAAGGGAGAGGCCAGCCACCCTTCGGAGGAAGCTCATTTCGCCGCTTGTATCCGCGATCTCGTTCTTTCGGTCACTACCCACAGCTCGTGGCCATAGGTGAGGGTAGGGACGTAGATCGACCGGTAAATTGAGAGCTTCGCTTTTACACTCAGCTCCCTCTTCACCACGACGACCGGTGCAGTGTCCGCATAACTGCAGCCGCAGCCCCAATTCATAAGTTTATCATATATATTTTATTTTTAATGTTCCTAAAATGAAGATGATGCACAGTTATCAAATTTTCTCTTTAATGGCTTGGCATTCAAGTGAAATATACTTTTGCATTTATTGAGCCAAAATATTGTGTTCTTGGAGGAGAAGCAAACCTGCAAAATGTTGCATGAAATTAGCTTCTTACATTTATTAACCTTCCCAAATTAATTTATCATGTTTTACTCTGAAGTTTTACTTATAACCCACAGTAAATATCACACTAACACCCTCACAATTCCTAATACACTGTTTATTTAAAAAATGGGGATGTGCAATGTTTACTTTATTAGGTACACATTGCTAGTATTGGGTTGGCCTCCCTTTTGCCAGTCTTAATTCTTTGTGGCAGAGATTTAACACGGTGTTGGAAACATTTTTCTTAATTTTGCAACATTTTGTATCACAGCTGCTGTGGAAGGCATTTGAGTAAAACTCATTCTATTATTAAAAAAAACACAATCTGATATAATCTGAATATTGTGACATGGTGGCTTAGTCTGCTGAATATCCATTACACCACCAACAACCTGACCTGTTATTAGCAAGGATCACTCCATTCTTCCATGATGATCTTCATGTTGTGCTATCAGAGATGCTCTTCTGTGAGTGGTTATTTGCATAACTTTCAGCTTTCTGTAAGCTTGAAGTAGCTTGACCAATTCTCCTCTAATGTCTGGCATCATCAACATGTTTTTTTCCCCCCATCACTCACTGGATGTTTTCCAGTGAGAACCTTACAGATGGCTGTGTGGGGAAATCCCAGTAGATCAGAAGTTTTGAAATACTTGGAGCAGACATTCAAAGTCACTTAAATCACCTTTCTATCTATTTCTGATGTCTCCATGCATGAATGCTGCTACACAACTGGATGATTAGATATTTATTTATTTACATACAAGTGAATGTAAACGGCAATACATGGGTTTGTTTGTTAGTGAAAATGAAACACGGTCAGTGAGCCGATGCAAATGTTTTGATGTATGGCTTAACTAGCCAGTACACCTGCAATATCATGATATTTCTGTATGTGACATCCGTACCCTAAACCTAATTTCAGGTACTGGATGTTAACATGCTGCCATTAGGCATACTCAACTAAGGTACTGTAATTGTAATGTTACAGTTTCATAAACAGAGGTGCGTTTTGTGCCTTCATTTAAACTTTCACAATTTTCATGATTGTTACAGTTTCTCTATTGACCTGGTCTTTTATACTCTGCTTTGACCTCTGGTGTGCCTTAACACCACACAGGCGGAAAACAGTTGGTAAGCAGGTTAACAGGTCTGTGTGCTTGTAGACGATTTGTCACATAGTAATCAAGAAGATGTGACAGATAATGATAAAAGTGAAGAGAGGAAATGAGAAAAAGTGAAAGATGATGAGAGGACAGACTGTTAGAAATGTGTTAGATGACGACAACAAGAGCAGCAAGGCACATATATCCTTAAAGGTGCAAGTGTTTAAGTATAAAGTAGTAGAAGACTGCTGTCCTGCATAAATGTTTAAGAGACTTTGTGAATCACAGTGCCGCTATCTGTCACGTGGTGTGACTACATCATATTATTCCTTTACCTTGTTGCCTTGGAAACACTTTGCCTGCCAGTACTGAAATTTAGTTTAAGTTGAATAACTGATACCTGGTCAGACGTAGAGTGACTATATTATATTTTCTGGACTGTCAAATACAAGAAACTAAACCACCAGACAGGAGACTATCAAAGTAAAACAAACGCATAAAAACAAACACACAGAGGGGGACACAGAGGACAGAGACACAAGGGGAACCTAATGGACAAGGAACCAAACAGAGAACAGAAGAACCTCAAAACAGACAAAACTAAAGACTACTAATGAGCCTAAGACATAAACCATAATACAAAAATGACACCAAAACACACAAAACTCAAAACACTGGGTCAAATGACCCAGATAAATGACAATTCCTTCATGACATTATGAACTGTATAAATTACACAATACTAATATTGATATTTTCAATGTTTTCTGGTGTTTTACAGAAAGAGGATTATTACTTATGAGAAGGTTCAATAAAGTCAAGATAAGTTACAACTTTTGTTTGGAAAAGTTCATAATGTAAGTCACCTGTCTGTCACCGGTAGGGAGAGGACTCAGGCGCAGACTGGAATTCAAAGTTCAATACGACAGTTAATTTACACAACACCAAGCGCAAAATATATACATGTGGGGGGAAAGATCCAGGGGTCCAGGGAGGGAAGGGAAAGGTCCTCTCACATACTTGTGCTCCACCACATAAATCCACACACCAACAATCCAAAGCAGGAAAGTGGGCAGCAGGTTCAGGGAGACTATTCACTAGTGATGGGCAGATGAAGCTTCATGAAGCACTGAAGCTTTTCATCCAATTGGTTCACCCCAGCACAAAGCGTCTTGAAGCTTCATTTGCTCTAGTAGGACACCTACTGGACGTAAAAATATTAGTTGGCATGAATTTGAAGAGTGTGGCCTTTTGCACACAGCCTGTAAATGTCAACAACAAAAGGAGTGTGTAAAACATCTATATTGTAGTGATGGCAGTATACTGTGTATATACTGGCAGTATGGAAAATGATCATTTGGAAATGCTTAAAATGGAAATGATCATTTACTGTGAGGTGAGGTGTGGTTGGGGTGTAGACAGTGGTTGTGCTTTTGTAACGTTGAGGTATGGACAGCTACACACTGAGGCTTTGAGCCTCAGTCCTGCCTGTTCACATTTTATTCTGCAAAACCTAAATTTTCACTGCTTTTACGACCTTTTTAGTGGGGAGAACATAGCTAGGATTTAATGATTTAACAAATCTTTTAAATCCTTTGTCCTCCACAATGCTAAATGGCTGGGAGTCCTCAATCACCATGCTAACCAGGTCTTCATCTATTTGAGATTGTTCTCCTGAGGAAAGACAATAAAGACAAAGCACAAATATAAATATCACACACGTAACTTGTTACAGTTGTATAATATTGTTATATCATTTAGTAACATTACTGCATGCTATATTATCATTGCATTTGATGGCTCACCTGGTCTTGCTCCACAATCGCTGTTCCCCTTATTCTCATGCAAAGCTCTGTAGTGCCTAAGCACGGATGAGGTGTTGTTGTTATATCCCAGCTCCCTGGCACATAGCAAACACTTCACCTTGTACAAAAGTAAAGACAGCTTAACATAAATTGTATTGCACCATCAGTATTATGAAAATACATCTTCTGTAGAAATTTACATACCTTGTTGGGAGATATAAGATCAAAATGTTCCCACACAGGGGAGGACATCCTCCTCTTCTTAGCTGGCTCCAGTCTCTCCTCACTCTCCTCAACCTCCAAACTCTCACTAACCGCAACTCTCCATCAAACACCTACATTTTGTCTGAGGGGTTTATATCGCTGTCATAGCTCGCGGCAAAGTTCGAACCACTTCATGAACCAGTCACGTGGTACAGCCGGGCAGCGAGGCTTCGGACATCATCATTTTCAGCTCCTCCCATAAATGAAGCAAGCCTCGATACGCGCATCGCGGAAACGCCCCCTCAATTACTCGACACAAGCTTTGAAGCCTCGATACAGAACGTCACATCACTACTATTCACAAAGAGAGATAAATCTCAAAAGGCAAACTCACTCATGAAATACAGAAACTAACACTAACGCGTCTCAAACAATCATCCAGCGATGAGAAGATCCAAGCCCCAGCCATAAATAGCCATGGAGTAATCAACTGAGGAATTAGAGCCAGGTGCGTGGGCCAAAGGGAGGAGCCTGCAGTGAGCCCCGCCCAGGCAGAGCGACAAGGGGGAGAGAAAGCACAGAGAACACAGAATAACCACAGCATGTGGAGACATGAGATTTGAAATATGAGTGGATTTCAAACTGTGTAGACTGATGCACATAACAAACATTTTTATTAAATGTGGCGATTGAACATTTCTTACTGGCTACCCTAATTACTACAGATTACTGCTAATGACTTAATTATTTACATAAAAAAAAAATCAGGTGATGATTTAGCAGTATGGCTTAAGAAATGAAGGAGTTGAAAAGAGACCCCTTATGTGTATGTCCCAGTGGCTTGAGGCCCCAGTGGTGTTAAATGTGGTCTCTGTCCATGTGTTCAGCTGTGAACAACTGGTTTTCTGCCTGTCTAAAGCTGCGTGTCATCTGCAGGAGGAAAAGACAGCACAGGTGGTTTTGATATTGTTGCAAATGAGTAATCATCAATTTAGTATTGATGATTCAGTATTGATCAGTATCTGAGGTTTTTTAGAGGAAAAAAGTCACACTGATGATGAAGAAGTATCAGAACTTACAAAGCCAAATATGACACTTGGCATTACAGACA